TTTGGGAGGCTGAGGCAGGAGGACTGCTGAGAATTTAAGGCCAGTCTGGGCTACGTAGTGAGTTCAAGGACAGCCTGGACTACACAACGAGATCCTGTCTCAAAAAACAAACAAACAACCAAAAAATAAAAAGCAAACAAAAAAGATGTGTTTAAACATATTGGGATCAATGTAGTAAAATATTGGGGAAAGAATAGGTTTCATTGGAACAGAAAACTGACTACTGACTTGTATAAAGATGGCCCAGTGAAGAAATGATAGAATTTTAAACAAATGGTGCTGGAACAGACAGACACTTATATTTTTTAAAAAACCTTTAAATTAAATCTCATACCACATGTAAAAAATCAGCTCTAAATGAATCACTTGTGCACATGTTCAGTTACCTGTGTAAGCATGTGCATGAGTGTGCACACATCTGTGTGCTAGTGTGTCTAAGTGTGAGTTGTTGGGCGCGGCAAGGAAGGGTGTCTCAGGAAATGTGTGTCAAATTTCCAGGGGGATGGACAGTTGCCCACAGGGAAGTTGTCAGCCCACAGGAGGAGGTGAAGCAGCTGTTTTCCGCTTTAAAAGAAAATATTTAAATTTCACAAGCACAAGAGAATTTCCACTTCAGAGCTTGTTAATAGGCCCCCTAGTTGAATATTTATATGTAAGTGACCTATAAAATTCAGTGTTCTATCTGTTGAAGTAGAACAAGTCAGTTTGTTCAAACAAACAAACAAAAATAGAATGCATCCATTGTCATGGATAAATCTCAACATTTCAAATAGATAACATCAAGATAGATGGGTCACTTTCAGAGTCCATCCAGGTTTCTATAATCTGGCAACTCTATAAATTAACATATTATCTGCTGTTTTCTTTGCAAGTCATCTAGAGTTTCACTTTGGGTCACTAAAACATTTATAGAAATAAAAAGCCACACAGGTATTCATAAAAAGCTGGAGACACTGTACACCTAGTCTCTGATCTTCACTGTCTCATCCTTGAAATACGGACTGCACTTTCTATCTTCACACGCTCGAGGCGGTCACTCTGCAGCACAGAGCCTGGTACAGAGTGGACAGGACTATTGTTGCTCATGCTGTTATCAGTGTACCCATTTTCCAAGGTATTCTTAAGCTAATAACCAGGAAATCTAATAAACCCTTTTGGAGCTACATTTATTCAGAAGATTTGCTTTGGGCAACTTTTGTGTCCTAGGAAGGGAGCTCATACTTCTTAAAAGATTCTTTCTGTATTGAAACTGATAAACAGGAAGCCCAAATTGATGGGACCCACTATTCAAGTCAAGAAACTGCATTTTAAGCAGAAAATTTATTTGTCCTCACTCCCTTGAGAAAAGAATGGTGAAACCAATTTCACTCCAACACCAGTCCTTGGCTCAAGGCCAGACAGGCTGCGCTGCGGCCTGGCGGAGATCATTCCAGCAAGTCTGAAGCGATTGATTGCAACCAAGGAAGCTCCTTGCCCTCTGCCAAGCATGGAGCGTTTCCTCTTGAACGGCACGACATCCCTACATGCGTCCTCCCTCTGACTTCTGCCGCTCTAATCAATGTCAAGGACACATCACAGCTGTGGGGACAGGGAATTGACATGGAGCAGAAATTAAGCAAGGAAGATGAACAAGAGGGTAGAAGGAGGAGGGGAGGGGGAGACAGAAGAGAAAAAAATCAGCAAGGATGGAGCTGAGCTCTCCTGAGAAGCACACACTCAAGTGCGACTGCAAATATAAATTTCCTGGATGCTGTGTTGGCTCCCTATTGCGGTGAAGCAGATTACTCCCAAATTTAAGGACTTAAAATAACATATATTTATAGCCTCATAGTTTATGTAGGGCAGGTATCAGACTGTAGCTTAGCTGGGTAGCCGGTTATGGGTCCCTCCCAAGGCTCCAACACTAGGGACTGAGCTTCACCCTGAGCTACACCCTGAGCTACATACCTGGCCCGGCCCTTGTTTTTTTTTTTTCTTTTAATTTTGAGACAGTGATTCATTAGGTCACTAAGTTGCCAGGCTGGGCTCAAAATTGTGGTCCTTGCGCCTCAGCTTGTCAGAGTGCTGGGATTACATATGTGTGCCACCACGCCCAGTTACAATCCAAATGCTGGCTGGGGCTGAAGTCCTCTCTGCAGGTCAGCTGAAGAAGACTCGTCTTCCAGGCTTCTTCTGTGAACACTGGCTGGACTGTGTTTGACAGCTGCTGAGTGAAGAAATGAAGGTTCCTGCCATGCGGGCATCTGCATAGGGGAGATCACAGAATGACACCTGCCTCTTGCGAATGACCATATGAGAAGGGTCAGTCCAAGTGTGACCAGAAGGGCAGTCAGCCTTCCTGAACTGATCTGGTGGTGACAACCCATCACCTCCGTTGAGCACGAGCAGGTTGAGGGATGAGACACCAGGAGGATGGAGTGAGTGTGTTTATGTGAAACCAGAGACATGATTTTTAACTGGCTTCAGTCATCTCATGGACTTTTGTATTATGGCTGAAACTAGGAAATAAAATGACACAGTGGTGTCTCCAAGGAGTGGGTCACAGGATCAGGAAGACAGGCGGCGTCTGGTCAGCAGGGAGCAGGAGGTGGGGGAGACTTCCGGGGTGCTAGACTGTGGCCCCTGGGTCCGCAGGGCACAGACTCTGTTCTGGTGACCACAGGTGGTTCACCCCGGGAGGCAGGGCACAGGGCGCACACACAAGGCCCTTCTGCTGGTGAGCGTCCGTGGGAGCATCTGCCCTTGTCCGCTCTTCACGGTCACGGGAAAGAAAACCAGGCATGTAAAACTTTCAGAAGAAGCAGCATGTTTAGGGTACGAATATATTCTTTTTTTTAAGATGATCTAGTCCACAGTTGCATGTACTTTCTAAACTAACCTATTCTTTCACAAGTTGTTTACATTAAAAGGAGTTAGTTTTTATTAAATTGTAGTTGAATTTCAAAACATTCTCAAGGAAAATTCACTCTACGTCCACAGAGTGTGTGTGAAGTCACAGCGACTAAGTCTAAACAGGTATCTCAACGCAATTCAAACTAAACTCAGGCTGGTGAACCTGCAGATCAGAGAGACCTGGGCAGAGGGAGGAGAAGGTCAGAAATAACCAGAAGGGCAGAGTACTTCACTGGACACTCCTCACTGGCATGTGCGGTCCATCTCCGAGGTTTCGCTTCCTTTGTGACCACCTCAGTGTGAAATCGAGCTGGGCCTGCTGGCATGCACCTAGGTCCCAGGGCTCAGGGAGCCCCAGACCAGAAGATCACAATTTCAAGCCCAGGCTGGGCAGTTTAGCAACTCGAGACCCCATCTCAAAAACAAAACAACACACAAAAAATCAAAAACAAAAACAATAAAACAAAACAAAACATGCTGGAGTTGTAGCTCAGTGTGAAGGCTTTGGTTCAATCCCCAGTACCCACCACCTTACACACACCACACACACACACACACACACACACACACACACACACAGACACACACACACACAGAGGTGGTAACTTTCAGATGGGATCATCTGATCCTGGGGAACCCCTGCCTTGATATTTATCAGTGTCTTTGCCATTGGTCTTGTAAAAGATTTCAGCCTCGAAGCAGCATCTGAGTTACTGTCAGCCCATCCTTTCTGCGTCTGACAATAACTAACAGCCAAAGCCAGGCTCCGCCTTGCACAGATGCCTCCCGGGGTGGCTGCTTCTAGGCTCCTATTTTTCTGGACACTGAAGACTTGGGAGGAGAAGTATTTGCTCAAGGTCGCCGTGTCTGTGTAGGTCAGAGAAGAGATGAACACTAGACAGTCTAATTTCAGAGCGCTCCTCTGGTCTGTCTGGACACACTCCCCTGTGGGGTGATCTCACACCCACAGCAAATGTGAAAGATGAAGGACCGTGTATCAAGGAAAGTCTGACCCTGAGTCACTGACAAATCAAAAATCACAGTACAACTGCGAAGGGCTACCAAAGCCATGGGATGCAAATCAGCTGCGGAAAAGGGTACTCATACGGTGCCAAAGCTCGCCCCAGACGGCACTGCTAATTAGGACTCTGTAAAAGGAAAGTATGGCTGAAACTTCTCTAGTGGAGAGGAAGGACTTAGCATCATCAGGACCAGGTCAGAAGACCACGGTACGGGCTGACATGGTAAGCGCGGGAGATGTTTATTTAAATCTCAGAGTGAGAACACTGTCAGACAAATCCAACTGTGAAGCTCTCTACAAAACAAGTGACTTAGAGTCTATCAGCTTAATGGAGCTGGGTGTGGTGGCACAAGCACAGCCTTGGCAACTTAGCAAGACTCTGTCTCAAAAAAAAAAAAAAATTAAAAAACAGCCGGGAATGTAGTTCAGTGGAGAAGTCCTGGGTTAAATTCCCAGTACTGTAAAATATCTATCTATCTATCTATCTATCTATCTATCTATCTATCTTTTCAAGTTATACACACAATTATGAAAGATACAAACAAAGACAGGGCCTTGATTTAGAATGAAATAGATATAATTAAATTCTGCGCATGGCACCTACTTGAAAGCCAGGCAGGGAAAAAGCAATATGATGATGACTTTTAGGACAACTAAGGGTATCTCAATGGGGATGACACATGAATCATATTTCCTTATCAGTGCTAAATTTCAGATACTAGTATTCTAGCTTTCTAGAGGATGCTCCAGTCTAAGAAGGTCCATGCCAAACGATGTCATGATTCATTTTCAAATGTTCCTGACAAAATAACTGAACACACATCACGCATCACGCACGTTGTCGATGTACCTTTCTGGTCTCTCTGTGTGTAAACAACTGGTAAATCTAAGACATACCAGTTTTCATGTGAGTCCTTTAACTTTTCTCTGGATCGGAAATTTTCCCTCATCAAAATTAGGCGAAAAGGTTCACGAAATTGTTTAAGAGACGTAAGGGCTCTGTTCCTCTTCTAAACTCAGCTGCCCAGGCAGAGTGAAATGCAGTTCTCAGGTCCCTCTCGGGGGCCGGGTGAGAGCAAACACTTACTTTACAGGGGTGCAGCCCTCATGTCCAGGGCTCCGTCCTCAGAGCCCCCAGGGCGCTGTCCTTAGCCACGCGGACTGCACTGAGCTCCCGCGCTGGCCCTGGCCCCCGGCGTCTCCAGCGCAGGACGCACTCTCTGGACACCTGTGCGCTCCGGAGCCCAGGGACCGTCAGGCCTTCGGGCCAGCACCGCAGGGTCCCCGAGGGACGTGGCCCATTTTCCCTGAAGCGGAAGGTGTAAGCGCAGCCAGTGGACGTCTGCAAAAGGGAAGAGGACAGAAGGTTCACGGTGCTTGGAAAGGGAGTTTGGAATTTCCATGTCAGATGTTACTTCTTGCTATTTTAAAATTAAATGGGAATCTCTAAAATTCAAACACAATTTTACACATGTGATATGCTCACCAAACAGTCCAGGGAGTGAATTCTGCTTCAATGTCCATCTTAACCTTTCAGTTTTAAGTGAATATTGGTTGGCATTTAAAAAAATTTTCTCTGAGCAGACTTCAGACAAGCAGTTTTGGGGTCAGAACCCCAAAAAGCTGCCGATATGCAGGGGAAGCAGGGCTCCCACTGGGGTCGGGGAACCCAAGTTTGACTCTGGAGATTCGTGGAGAAGGGCAGCGCGATCCACCGGATATTTGGAAGTGAGAGGCCTCCTGCTGACCCACACTGCAGAGCACGGGGTCCTGGCTTGGGCTGAGGGGGCCCGAGGGACCCCAGGGCCACAGTGCTGGTCACACCCAAGCCCCCACGTGTGGTGTTTCCCGATGGAGAGACTCTCCTGTGGTAGCTCTTACCCAGACGGCCCTTTGGGTGGACACTGGGTCCAGTCCCTGCCTAGTGGCTGAGAGAGGGGACAGTCCTGCCCGCTCTGCACTTTGCTCAGCCTCTACCACGTGGGGCCCCGGAGTCTGCTTTCCAGGCGACAGCACCCAGGCCCCCCTGCTCCCCAGCACCCTTGTCCTGTGAGCACCCTCCACCTCTCCAGGAGGTCCACGGCAGCAGGGCCAGCAGGCTTCCCGGAGAGCCTTTCCCACAGCACGGATCCTGCGCCCTCATAAGCACCGCCAGTCCGCGTCCACTAATTCAGAGCCAGTGTGGTCGCTGGCTCTGTGGGCGGGGGTGGGGTTGGGGGGGGGTTTGTGTCCCACCCCAATTCTCTGGCTCCCTCGTGAATTCTAGCTCTCCTGAATCCCATGTTGCTACCGATGTTGTGCAAAGCTGCATTTTTATAATTTTAACTTTTTAGGTCATTTTATCTCAACTACGTCTCATCTAATACCTTATAGGGAAAATTGAGTGCTTTACTTAATTTCCAATTCTATATTCTTGAAATGGGAAATTTAACCTGCTCCCACCTAGTCTTGGCAGGGTGTGGGAGCACAGCAGGGGGACAACTGGTGGATACGGAGCTTTCTGTGTCACCTGACTTTATGTTTGCTCCTCCAATTATCTTCTTCTTGCTTTCTTTACGATTTTAACTGACTTAATTGGTCCAATTTTTCCTCTTAGCAATTCTCAAAAGTCACATTTTATTTTTCTTCTAGTAATTCCTTTAAATTTATGAAATACATTCATATATTCATCTTTTCTATCAAAATTGAGAATTAACTAAGATACATAATTTCTACACAAGCAAAGTCCTTCACCCAATTTAACTGCTTTCCCTCCTTATGTTCTTGGCTATATTTTATTGAAATCATTTAAAATGTTAATTCAAACTTGCTTTTAATTTGCATGTTTCTACTTCCTTCAGACTCATTTCTTAACAGTTGTTTCAAGCTTCAGGGTTTTGTTATTAATAACTGTAATACGCTGCAGTGTTTTAATGTTTGCTAATTGATCAGGGATAATTTATATCATTTGTTTCTCCCAGTGATTTTTATGTTACTAAAAGTATTCCTTGATTAACTCAAAATGGCTTTGTAGGGAACACATTTCCTGTATTCTTAAGTAAAAATCAGGAGAAGTCAAATGCAAGAGAAAAGGAATCAATAGCCAACCATTCTTGAAAAAGAGCTTACATTTCCTGATTTCAAAACATATCACAAGGCTACAGTAACTGGAACAGTATGTTACAGGAATAAAGACAGTTGCACGCCACTGGGAATCCAGAAATTACCTGATGTGCATATAGGCAATGATTTTGTATAAGGGTGCCAAGACCACTCAGTGAGGGAAAGGGCGCTTTAAAAATTAATTTTATTGGTCCATTTCTATATCTATAATGATCACATGCATCACAGAGAATCTGCAACTGTGCATGTGTCGTGATTCTTCTCTCCCACCTCCTCCGTTTCCCTCCCGTCAATCTCCCCTCCCCTCTTTACTTATAACAGGTTTCCACATTTTGGGGGAAGGACAGTTTTCACCACAGGGTGCTAGGAAAACTGGATAGCAACGCGCCAGAGAATGAAGTGGGACCTTTACCTAATACCACACAAAAATGAACTTAAAATGGATCAGAGTTCTAAATGTAAAACTAAAACTCTTTGAGATACTGGGTGGAAAATTCATGACACTGAATTTGTAAGTTATCTCTTGGAGACAACATTCAGAGAATGAACAACAAAAGAAAAACATAGTTAAAATGGATTTCATGAAAAATAAAAGCTTTTCATCCACAGAATGAAAAGGTAACCTATCTAATAAAAGAAAATACTTGCAGGTCACATATCCGATAAGGGTTTGATATCCAGACTATATAAGGAACTATGATTCAATAAGAAGATAAACAACCCAATTTTAAAAATTGGCTAAAAAATTGAATAGTCATTTTTCCAAAGAAGATAAACAGTCAAACAGAAGGCAAAACAAATGCAACCACACCCAAGTATAAACATTGGGCCTGGGTATGATCACCTTGAGACACCAGGAGTCACCATCTAACCCCCTACAGGAGGAGTCACGGGTCCATAAGAAGGCCTGCTTACTGTATGACTCGATTCCCCATTTGTTCCCAATTTAATCAATTTTACCTTATCTCCACCCTGAGAGTTCCCATTTTCCCCACCTTAGACCCATCTTGCTCCATAGTTTTACTCTATAAAAATCCTTAGAAAAGACAGAATCATTGGCAACCCAGTCAGGATCCCATCTGTCTGTCTCTCAGACAGAAGCTTTCTTTCTCTCAATAAATATTACTGCTCTTAAAAAAAAAAAAACAAAAAAAACCAAAGATAAACAAATGACCAATCAGCACATTAAAAATAAACAGTCACTGGGAAAGGCAAATAACAAGGCATTATTGTACTTTACACCCACTAGGATGGCTAGTTATTTAAACACACACACATGCACACGCACACACAGACACACACACACACACACACACACACACACACACACACACACACCAGAGAACAGCAAATATCGGGAAGGCTACAGGGAAATCAGAACCCTTTGCAACCCTTGATATATTGCTGATAAGAATGTAAGGTGATGTAGAGGCTATTCAGAACAGTGGTTCTACTTCATTTCTGCAAAAAAATAATGCCTTAAAGATTACTTTATGATCTAGCAGTTTAACTTCTCAGTACATAGCCACCCACCAGAATTAAAAGTAGAATTTAAATGAGTGTTCGTGAAACTATGTTCACAGTCAAATTATTCACAATAGTTAAAAACAACACAAGTCTCCATTGTCATGCAGATACACAAAATGTGACTCACTCATACAGTGGAATAGTATTAAGCCTTAAAAAGGAAGGAGATTATGACATGTGGAATATCATGGATAGTCCTGAGGATGTGACAGGAAGTGAAATAAGCCAGCCACAAAATGACAAATACTGGTTACCGCATTCATACACAGTGCCGGTATCCATCAATAGATCAGATTAAATTCACAGGAAGGAGAAGTAGAATGGCTTTGGGGAGGAACGTGACAAGGGAGTGCTTAACAGTTCTAGCATTTTAGTCTGAGCAGATGAAAAATTCCGGAGCTGGGCAGTGCTGATGGTTGCTCAACAGTGAGAATCTACTTAACGCCACTGGAAAGCACAGTTAATTAAAGCGATTTGTTTTGCATAACTCCTCACATCAAGAAAATTTAAGACGGGCCAGCAAATGAGTAAGAATCAGATCGAAGCTTTTCCACTGACCACCTACTTACTGTTCACGGAAAAACACATTTAGAGATGAGTGTGGTGGGGGCGGATATAATTTGGAACCAAGAACTTTATGGGCAGTGAAATTCTTTCTAAAGAAATATGCACAGGCTCAGAAAATTCTTTACTCATAGATCCTTGGAAAAATTCATACAGAAGATTCAAAGAAGGGTAAAAATGAAAACCAAGCTTTGTGAACAGGGAGGGGACAGGGGTTTGAAAAGAAGGGATGGCAGTGGGGAAAAAGAAAAAACCAAGATATATCACATACAGATACGAAGTCTCTATTAATTTGGTCATAATATATATTTAAATTGTACCGATAAATTTTTAAAAAGAAACTTCCTTTTAGTAAAGCAAGGTTTGATAGAAAAAAGAAAAAGAAAAAGAAAGCCATCACAAAAGGTGAGACACAAGCAGCAAAGGTGAATTACAGGCACTGGGGATTTAGCTCAGCGGCATAAGCGCCTGCCTTGCAAGCAGGCAGTCGTGAGTTCGTTCCCGGTACCAATAAAAATGAAAAAGACCAAAAAAAAAAAAAAAGGTGAATTACAAAAATAATAAAATAGTACATACTGGGTTATTAATCAAATGGCTGCTTTAAGATCTAAAATTAAAAATACAAATATAAAATGAGTTATATTGGTATAGTGCTAAAATGCAGAAAATATATAGTGATAATTGATAGCCAACAAGATATAATTCATTATGGAAGGTGACTTTAACGTTGTAAGTCTGTCACATAATAAATTAATACAGAAACATTACGTGAACATTGCAAAAGATTGGCATTGATACAATTTGACAATCATGGTAACTTTAAGTAAAATATATCCTAGCAAAGTAGGCTAGGAAGGAAGCCCCTGCACCTGATATCACATCTTTAAAGAAAACACTGTAACATACGTTATGCTTAACAGTGAAATGCTGAGTAATAAGCCCCGTGCTTTCCTTTCCCTGCACTACTGGGGCGTCTGCCATCACTCCTGTGCTCCGCCTTCTCCTGTGGGGCTTGGCCGGGGGCTTAGGGCAGCATAAATAAGCTCATTTAACTAACAAAAAAAGTGTTTACCTAAAAGAAATGATATAAAAAGTTAAAAGAAATGAAAAACCTTGTTATTATTAGTGCACAATATGATTTAAACATAG